GAAGACCGAGTGTTTCTTTCTATTCCCGGGTGGAGGGGATGGGTGTCAGCTACTCGTGGTTATGTGCCCCGCAATTACTCAAAGGCATGAGTCGAGTTATTCGGATGAAATGATAATGGACGAGTGCTTGTTTAGGCTTTGCCAGGTGAAAAGAAAATGAAATGAAATTGGGCTTATCTTCTAATTTGTCTGCGCCGACTTGACTAATGAAGACGGACATACATCGTGCAGTGTACTGTGATGAAATTGTGCCCAAACAGCGGCGTCACGGTCTCCTCTTATTTCGGATTCAAGCCTTTGCTGTTTCTTTTCCGTACACACCAACGAGTATACGGGACATTGGGTTTACATACCACCCAAACGACTAACCCCTGGGTGGAATGAAAGGATTGATAGACGAAATTGCAACTTCTTGGAGAAAAGACCGATCAAAAGGGATATGCTTACCTATAATTCGAACATAGCTAGGAACACACACATAACTACATGTAGTAAACTAAAATATTTCCTTTTCATACATGATTTACATAAAGGAAAACATAGTCTTTTTGTTTAATGCCAAATAATAAAATGTCTAATCAGGATATGGCGGAAGATGATAGTGAGTAGGCCATGTTTTCTGATGTCAAGATGATCTGTATGTGTTAAATAATACATGTATTAAAGATGCATTATGTAAAATTTAGATAAATAGCGGACAGTTCTTTCGATAGTAGTTTAAATTAGATAATGAAAAGGGAATACATTAAAAATCCCAGCCAAATTACTATATTCTGAGTCATTATCTGTGTTGGATTTCTGTAGTCTGGATTTTCATTTCTACCATTGTAACGATATTAAACAAAGTCTGGATTGTTCAGTTTTAAAATAAATTATTAAATGGCAATGTGTTTCAGTCCATATAAATCACGATCATCCGACGGTCTTGAGAGTTGGGTTTGTATGTGAACAAATGTGTAATTAATAAATCATACAACATTTGAGGTCAAAATAATGCATTTTTAATCTAAACAATTTCTTTAGAAATTATGGTATGAACCTCTGAAAACTGTAGAGATGAAAAGCAAAGACCGTGTCACGTCATCACCGACTGTCATGTCCAACTTAACTGAACTCAAACCTGATCTTTTACGAAAGGTATGGTGTTTATTTGCTGGATTTCAAAAAGTCCAAACCACAATTTTATATTCATAATGTTCCACATCAATATCTCATTTTATTAATATGCTTGAAGTTGTGGTGTAGTAAAACACGGCGAATTCATTCACAGATTACTAGTTCCAATCACTGACGAACTGAAGATTAGTAGAATAATTTCTTTGCCTTCAAATACAGCTCATTTCACAACAATAAATGTGCAACGATAAAGCACCAAAACGAATATTCAGTCAGTTAACACGATTTCTTAGAAATATGAAATGTTATTCTTGGGAGAAAATGAATATGATGGATATTTATATATATATATAAGTAGGCTATAAATGGGCGTATGTAAAATCCTTCTCCTGATACACTTGTTAATGCTAAAATTATATGTAAAAAATATAACAATACACACATTGTTTTCCAGGAGTTTTGTCCAAATCCTAAAACCACCACCAGATCGACGCCAGAAAATGAAATCACTGTCGTAACGGCATACTTTAATATTGGCAGTTTTCGCAAAGGTCAAGATACAAAATTTGATCCAAAACTTTACAAGACATGGATGAAAACATTCCAGTATTTGCACAACCCCCTAATTGTGTACGTTGATGATCAAGAAGTAGCTGAACTGTTTAAAATGTTGAGAAAAGATCTGAAAAGCATGACCAAAATCATTGCGTTGGACCGAACCAAATTGTGGTCATTTGGACTCCACAAAAAAATAGCAAACATATTTTCTAATGCAACATATCCAAAATTCCACCCTAACACCGTGTTTCCAGATTATTCTTGCGTTCAACATGCTAAATATGAATGTGTACAGAGGGCAATTCAAGTGGACTACTTTTCAAGTCGCCACGTGCATTACTCTTGGCTGGATATTGGATATTTCCGCGAAATAGTTCAATGTGCCTATAATTTTAAATTAGTGTTACCAGATAATTTTAATAAAAACAGGATTTCATTTACACAAGTTTATAATGCTCTGCCAACCATTTCAATTTCTGATATATTTTTAAAAAATCAAGTGTGGGTTGGCGGCGGAATAATATTAGCAAGTAAGGGTGTTTTTAAGAACTTTATTCACCTTTACATGGAGGCCGTAGAAATATTTCTTGAGAAATCTTTAATGAATAGTGACCAGCAAGTGATTTATGCTATATATTCTCAGATGGGAAGACAACTCTTTAAGCCAAGTGTTGAATTACAGTTATACGGTTCTTATAACGGCTGGTTTTATTTAGGATTTTTATGTCATAGATCTTTTAATACTTCAACTTTATCTCCCTCCGTATAATTATTAGCAAAATTCTCAATAAATGGAACACAAGTGCATAATAGACTTACCAGTTCCATGGTTTCTGATGTTCTTTGGTCAAGAAATTGTAGGAAATGTATGATTTTTGTCTTGAATAAACAAATAATGGAAGGAAGAGATCTGTAGGCAAATTTCAATGATATCAAGTAAACGGTTTTCTGTCAATAATTAATATGTCACTATATTTGATCTGGCGTTAACAAATACTACCAGTTGTCACTGACAACACAGTTGTCTGTCTTCATGGACATTAATTGGCATAGTTGTCTTTCTTTCGACTTGGATTAAAGCCGATGGGCTAAGTATGGATTCATTATTTTACTGTCCGTAATTATTTCTTTTCATGGTTTATCTAAGACTGTCATTAAAGGTTGGGGTCCTTGTGTATGGTTGCCATGGAACTTCATTTTTTCTTTCCATGTGGAGTGGAGGTGGTACAGAAGACTTTTTATAACTTACTGTGGTTATTTGTTCATATGACTTTCAGACACTGAATGTAGTATAGAAAACAATGTTCCGTATACAGGTGGGATTGGCCTCGTATTATAACTTACGTGGCTTTTATTTTAATATGATTTTCCAGTTTCCAGAGAATCAACGTCATAAGGAAAAATATGTTTAACAATAAATGTGACATAGGGATTTAGTGGCATATAAATAGAATCAAAATACATCAGCAAAATACGAAATCCTATTAAATATTATAAAACATACATGGTGATAAATGCGATTATCATTTCAACACCTATTTCTTAAGTTAAGTTTCCAGTGAACCGATATCAACAGATTGAAAAACATCTCTGAACACAGCCGTATATCTGTAATAAAAATAAAGAAGCTTATATGATTACTTAAATTTATTTTAAAAATAAAATTCACAATCTTATCTCCGACATACTGCTTGGTTTTCTTAGTAAATCACTGTGGGCTTGCATGCACATTCAAATCATAAAAGGATGACTCTTAATTTTAGAACGACCACAATCATCTTATGCTGGGCCGAATGATCGAAACTATTGATTTGCGTATCACTGCATTCTCTTACAAGAAACTATAATTTCTTCCTTTGCTGAATGAATACTTTCACAAAGTGTATAAAACAAGTAAAAGCGTAGTATATGGACCAGGAACCTACAACGACGTCATCACAGCCGCCTTGGAATGGTTAACAGATGTACATATTATAATATATAATAAATAACGGTTTCAAGTAAATAACGATAATAATATTTGAAGTGTGCCGATTTGTACTGATTAAGCCAACAACAGTTACATATTTATGGATAAAAGGTTAATTTAGCAACCTTTAAAGGTAGACATATAAAACAGGTTGAAGAAATCTAGCGACCAGACCAGAGCCAAATAAGATAACGCAGATCTGTTAAAAAGTCTTTGACCAGCTTGTCACCCCATCTATTGGTCATATAACGGACAAATGTGTTAAGTCCTTAGAACAATGTTCCCAGACCGAACGTTTGTCGAGAAATAGCAATGACATGCAATGGAGTTTAACGTCCTACTGTTCTGCTTTGCCGAGAAATAGAAATGAAATCAAAACCTGGGGATTAACACTACTTTTCTGCTCCATATTATAGACTATTGACCAGACTATTCTTTAGAACAATGTTGCCAGACCGAACTTTTGTCGAGATATGGCAATGAATTGCAATTGGGTTTAACGTACTACTGTTCTGCTTTGTCGAGAAATAGAAATGAAATCAAACCTGGGGATTAACACTACTTTTCTGATCCATTCGGACTATTGAAGACGGGGATGGGACCTCGGTTTTTCGCATACAGACGACTAGGTGCCCTTCCTTGCCATGTTAATTATCCAATGCCTTAATCAATGAGCCATGGCGGCCCAGAGACTAAATTTAGCATTGTTATTAGTACAGCATTGGCATAGACAGTACATCAAAATGTCAAAATAAATGTATACTTGGCAGGTTCTATTTGTGTTTACGCTACTGGGCCTAAATAAAGTTTCTATTTTTAAATAAGATATTGTTTATATTGGGAATTGTCATGTATTGAGGTAAACCAGACCAGCGGGGAATATTCATGTTTTATTCTACTGGTCTAGTCTTAAAAGAGTACCCCATTTTACAAACTTTTCGTGATTTATGATAATTTTCCAATAAAAAAGTAAATTTAAGTTTAAAAAATCGATTTTTATGATGTAAAACCGAACTAAAAATATACTAAAGATGTTTTCAATCATGGCATGAAGTGTTTACCAACTGCGTTCGCGTGCAAAACAAAAAAAAATCGCAAGGGAAATATGCAGGTATTTTGTTTAACGACGCGGCACCGGGCCCATTGTTAAATATTATTTGAGTTGCGTGACATTTATTGAAAACAATACTATTTAAAACTAACATATTTTATTCAAGTATCTGAATTGTATTGAGGTTTGGTTCGGAATTTGTGAGAGCTATTCTTCTAAGATATCTATATGTATATAAATATATATACATGGTCGTAATAGGTAGAAGAGGAAACCGTAATGAAATTTTCAAATAAAACAGACCCGTTGATTAGAAAATATTTATTATGCAGAACAATGAACATTTAACTAAAGTGTATTTTTTTCATCTTTTTTTAAAATTTAAATCATTAAATAAATACTTAAATGACAATGATATATTTTCGAGCGTTAATAAGAACATGGAGTGTAATAATATATTTACACTATGCGCTGAAATTACTCAACACCATTTACATTTATACCCCATAGCAAAACTTCAATTCATATGCATCATCTATAATAGCAAAACTTCATTTAATTTATATTCATCTGTAATAGCAAAACTTATTTAATTTATACCCATCTGTAATGGAAAAAGTTCATGTAATTTATATTTATCATCTAGAACAGCAAAACTTCATTTAATTTATATCAACTATAAAATTATATCCATATTTAATAACAAAACTACATATAATTTATATCCAATATTAATCAACTATAATAGCCAAAATTCATTTAATTTATAGTCATATTTAATAGAAAAACTACATTTAATTTATATTTAGCATCTATAATAGCACAATTTCGGTTAATTTATAATAATCATCTAGAAAAACTTCATTTAATTTACATTCATCTATATTAGCAAAACTACATTTAATTTATATCCATATTTAATAGCAACACTTCATTTAATTTATAATCATAATAGCAAAATTTCAATTATTTTATAATTATCCGCAATAGCAAAATTTCAATTATTTTATAATTATCCGCAATAGCAAAACTTCGTCTATTTTATATGCAACGGTAATAGCAAAACTACATTTAATTTAATTATATCCATCTATATTAGCAAAACTACAATAATTAATATTGGTCTATAATAGTAAAACTTCATATAATTTATATTTATCAACTATAACAGCAAAATTATATTCAATTTATATTCATCAAAAATAGCAAAATCATTTATCATTTATAATAGCAAGACAACATCCAATTTGTATCCATGCATAGCAAATACTCCCCGTTAGTCCCTAGACATCCGTGGAATCAAACACAATTTAAGTTGTATATTTACACACATGGACAAAGGAGTAAGTAATATTACGTTCCATATAATATTTACATTATGAAGCCTATTCAAGCCAAACTATGTAAAGGCAGACTACAGAAAAAGTCTTTCCTCACGGCACTGTTCGACCGTAAGAGCAGCCACAGTTACCTCGGGTCGACGGGGTGTAGTCATATTTCATCGTCTGAATTTGCATTTCAAGTTCACGGAGCTGCATCGCAAGGAGCTCCCTTTGCTCAGCCAATTTACCTCTACCTAGCTGTGCCTTCAGTAATGTTAAATATAATCCCTCCTCTTCCCTTGGTTGAGCAATTTCCATTAGTAACGTTTCGCGTTCCCTCTTAAGAACTTCATTAGAAATATCACTAGTGTCGTCAGAGAAACTGATGGATGATGGCAGTGTACTGTGTTCTAGAAAACTAGATGATGATTTAACAGACAAAACTCTATAAAAAGTAAAAAAAAAATTACAAGGATTGAGAACAACCTATATCCACCCACAAATCACATAATAAATCAAATGTGGTTGAACTTACTATTTTTCCGGATCAACCGGGCTAACGAAGCTGGGCATGCGTCATGCAATATGATATGATTCTGGACAGTGACTACATGACCCACTCTTTAATTCGAATTACAAATACGAAGGGCTCTTTTTACGTGCACGGAAACGTGTACACGGGACCTCGATTAGAGCATATCCGAACGATTACACTCTGTTCCCGGCCAGGTCATCCGTCCTGCACTACTGACAAAAGGAAATCACGCCGTAAAATTCAGACGAACTTTCTCCTTCAACACTGGAAGCGAAGCAGTGATCTCCTGGCTACCGAGCACGTGTCTCAGTGAGCTACCGCTACTCCCTCATGCAAATAGACCATGTAACGATACCAAATCTAAAAATAAAATGGGTTGCTAGTCTCATGGCGACAATACTTCGATCACTTTTGTTTCTGAGAGGTGGGAGAAGTTTGCCTGGGCAGCGGTTTTTCCTCATAGTTCCAACTGTCGGTAAATGAATGATGGGAATGAAAAATACCTACTCCGGGTTATGAACCTGGTATTTCTTGTCAATAGTCAAATAACCTGCTCACAATCATCACCCTCGACTACTTTAGAAAAAAAAGAGGGGTTGGTTGTCATGTCTATCAACACGTCGTCAATAATTTTTATACTAACATTCATTTATGTTAAGTGCACGCCCAGTGTCGATATACATTTCCATTGCCAGCGGTGTTTCCGAATAGTGTCGTCGACTTTTCATCCCAAGAGGTTTTAATGTGTAATACCAATGTGTACACGATTTACCAAGACAAATACTAAGATACCTACTCATCCGATCCATCACTAAGACTGTTTGCTGGTGAAGACGATGCCATTGGTACTTTATTAAAAGATGTTCTCTCACGGTGCTTGGGTAATACTTCATATCCAACTTCAGAGTTGCTAGACAACGTATCATCAAAGCCGACATAAAAATGCATACGATTATGTAAACCGTTTACGGTTTTGGTCAAATTGGCCTGAGGTAGACTGTCATGTAGTCTATTCTTCAAACGCAGTGTTAGGCGAGAAGTCGACATTGAAACAGTTGTATCTTTCGGATTTGATTTATTTGACAAATTGGTGGCAGATTCTCCTAAAATTCACAAAATAAGAAATTACATATACGAACATCATATCACCAAATAAATAGGTTAATTATCGTACCGTGGTGTACTTGGGTAAAGCTTTCAAACTGCCATCCAATGGTCAGGGAGAACAGTAAACATTAATGGGATGAAGAACATAACGGTGGAAACCAGTAGTAAATCCTATTCAAATTTTTCGTCGGTTACATGTGTGCTACGGTCAGCCAATCCATCGTAGATAAACGATCGAGCTGGATAAAATCTATTTCTAAACGTAGCAGCCGTCGTCAAATCGGGTTTCGCCTTCGACCAAGGTCACTACCCCTACACCAAAAATGTTATAGATGAAGACACGACACACCATACCATCTTCGAAGAATCCTGTATGACGCGCGTCGAGTTTTTTTTATGACATACTGTTGACGTTGTAAAATCAGACTATTGGTAACAAATAATCATTGATGTGTACACGCCTTAATAGCATTGAATCATTTGGAAATGAAAATAGGATTAACGTCCTGCTTTTCTGCACCAGCGAGGCCAATAAGGACGGACACACTTCATGCAGTGTGCTATGAGAAACATTTTGCTCAGACAATGGCATTTTCAACTACCTTCACCGAATTTCATATTTCAAGGGTCGTTTATGTGCATGTCAGTGTGTACAGTTTTTCGTACAACCCGAGCGACTAGACACTGTTCCTCGCCAGGCCCTACGTCCTGCACATCTTAAAGAAACTACGCTGAAAAATCATCTGGGACATTTCTCGGCCACTACTTTAAGACAGCCAGGCCCTAACACATCCAGCCATATATCATTTGGTTCATCTAAAGAAAAACGGCATAAACCTATTATAAATAGTATGCGATACCTTTTGCAGCGTGTGTTTTCAATTTCAGCTTCTCCTTTATAGATATCATTTTGTTTGGTTCCAAATGATCGTCTTCTATTCCCGACTCTGATGAAGGTGATGTAGAAGAACTAAAGAACGACGTAGTGGATTCTGGCTCGTCTGACTTTTTTTCTTGAACGTCATCTGATTGGTCTGTGGACGACAGAACCGACTCTGTCGACAGTTGCAGTCTATCCGAAGACAAGATCTCACCTGTAATTAAAGGCAAAATAATACTTATTTTAAGAATATGCACAGATTATGTGCAACTAGAGCTGACGTTTCATATACATACATACATCTATCGGGACCTCTTAAAACATTTCCCTATTTCGAAGACACCCCCCACCCTAGTTGTCAGCGGTGAATGACGGAGGTCCACATTCGAACAATTTTCAGTCGTTCAAACGATATAACAACACGATGACACAAGTATAGGCCAACAAGTTTGAACATTCTACCATAATTAGAAGCTGAGCTGTGTCACAAATTACTTCACCAATTACATTGCTCAATTTTGGCCAGTCGAAGCAGACAATTCATCATCGAACTCACTCAGGACACTGACCAAATAAACAACTATACCATATTAGAAGCGCGGGTATGACGGACAATCAATACAGAACCAATTTTAATATTCCAATTCGTTTTTCGAAAGCGGGGGACGACAAAAAAAAAAAAAAAAAAAAAAAAAGAAATCTTACTAGTTCGTTTGGTTCTTCTGATTTTGTTACTCAAAGATGTTCCCCATTTTTTCCGGAATTCAAGAACATGTTTTTTCATCATCAGATTCTGCATATTGAGGGTTTGACATATTCTTTTCCATGTTTCTCCTTTATCTGTTAAAGAATAAAGTTATATATATAGTCAACACAATATTTATAGCAAGTCTTTCTTTCTCCCTTTTGTGGATTTTAAATGTCAATTTTGACTTTATGGTCTAGAATCGAAGGATGGGATTTGAATTGACATTAACTTCATAATTTTGTGAATAAGGTGGAATAATAACGAAATAAACATGTATGCAAGATTGTGACATGTAAAGGCTGTTTGTGATAACTCGATTAAGGGCGTTGGGTAGTCTAAGATACGCAGTAACTTTTCAACACCAATCTTATTAGAACTTTGCAAACTTGTTCCATGTGTAAAATAACCCAGAGAACACATAACAGTCCAACCGTTTGTTGTGTAATAATGGAGGTACAAGCGGAAAGAAAAAAACTATTTATAGCAAACGAGAAGGTTTCCCCAACCTAGATCAGTTCTTGAATAAATTATGACGTCGTATACACCGTTAACGTCATCCGCTGTAAACAATCATGGCCGCGTCCAGCAGTAGTTTCATACTGGATCATTCACGTCTATCTATATATGACGCGATTATCCAGGTCTACCATCTATCGCTATTGGAACGTGGCTGAATTTCATTTTTTTATTGATGGTCGAACACTGCTATTTTTGAATGTATAAAATGATTTTTAGAACGGCCGAGTAGTGCACTGAAGTCGATATTTACTTTTTACGTCTGAATTGTTGTATTTTAAAAGTTGTTGTGGACGTATTCAAAGAATTAACCCAAAATCACAAAATCCCGTTTTTAAGGTAAATAATGAAGAATGATTTTAAAATACTTTGAGTTGATATTTTCCAACGTTTTTGGTGTCGAAATGTAGCTTATAACCTATTCTTACCATCTACAGGTGTGATTATCGATATTTCGTTTTAGCATGTATTATTAGAATTTACAAGAAAACTTATAATTTTTTTGCGTTTCCATGGATACCAGACAAACTACAGCCTATAGTAAAAAATTGACCAGTGGCTTTTTGACTTGCTATTAGCATTGTTCATATCAAATCTAAAGAAAATCCATGCAGTCATGACTGAGAAAATTTGACTTTTATTGTCATCGGCACCCTTTATTATCATGCTTTTGGGCCAAGTTTGAAACGTAGTTAGTAAATAAAATTCGTATTTCTTGGGTGATTGAAATGTAGTTTACCAGCCAAAATAACAAAAAATGTCATATCTTATCAACAAAAATTACAGTGCTAGCTTTAAAATGTGCATTTTAGACTGCTCAACGCCCTTAAGTTTATTGGAATGTTAACAAAATGTTACAGACCAGAAAATGTCAAGAAAGTAAATTTGAAACCAATGGGCTGAGAATTATTTGTCTTAATCCAACTGGATATTAATCGGAGTTGTCGCCCTTTCTGTAAATAAACAATTTGGTGATGAATTCACTGTTTGAGCAATTTTCAGATTATGTCAAACTTCCTCCATATCGCCATCAAACCCAGAAGTTCCCAAATACTTTCATTCCGTTTCCCCACAGCTAATTTTATTTTACACTGCAACACAATAAGGCGACTGATAGGATTGAGCTCAAATGTGCGTGACTATGCGTGGGCAAATTTAAATCAATCCCAAATTATCTATTTTCTGGAACGTTACAGATAAAACGTCAGTTGTGGGGCAACAAGCAGGTCATTGATCGAATAACACATTAAATGCAATAAAATTGACATTTATTTGGAGGTATCTCAAAGAGTTCCCAAATGCAACTAACTCATTTATAACTGACGAGATGTCAGTGATAAGAATAGACAAACTAAATCATCAATCAATTTGAATCGCCCTTTTGTTTTATCTATTTAAGACCTCCAGTAAATAATCAGCTATTACCATCCATATCAATGTCCTCTTCTGTAATGAAACTATATTCAAGTCTTTCATTCTCTTGAATCGTGTTCCCATTACCACCCATGTCAATATCCTCTGCTGTAAAGAAACTACTTTGAAGTCTGTTATTCCCTTGAATCGTGTTCATAAGAACTTTTCTTCTTTACATCGGTGTCATTATCAGCCAACTTACTTTTGTGAGAGTAAAGATCTCAAAACAGCGAATGCTATGCACGTGCGCAGTATACGAAGTTGCGTTCGATTGGACTATCGTTCGCGGCACATGCAAGTTTTATGGATGGGCATGCTCCATGATCAGTCCGGAACGCCCCGAATTGACGGAATTGCAATCGAGTAGCGTGGAATTCAGTCTTGTCACAGTTCTGTCAGTCCTGGCAACTGAGATTGGGGATTCTGGTTTGAACGTTCCGGAATTGAATTCTCTCAATCCCAAAAATAGTGACAAGCCGGTGAAACGGAGAATTTCGGGCTACAACGCATGCTCCGACTGCATCAGAAAATATTTCAATCAACCATGACAGCTGAAACATATTCATTATGTTTAATAACGTCACGATTCTACTCACACCACCTCCGTTGTTGGGACTGATAGAACTGTGACATGACTAAATTCCGTGTCACCCGAATGCAATTCTGTCAATTCCGGACTACCAATCGAGCATCCCCGAATTCGACTGACAACTTACTTACGGTCTATGATAATTCTATGGGGGCTGTTGGTAATCATATAAAACTGCGTGAATCAAATGTTCTGCGCCGATTGGGCTAATGAGTACGGGCATACACCATACAGTGTGATGTTCTTAAAAACTGTACACCAAAACATCACAGCAGTGTAAGGGCGATGACATGACAAATTTAACTTAAGATGTTATCGCGTGAATGTTGTGTTATAGACTCGTCGCCTTAGTCTCTGTCTGCAAGAGGCAAAAGTCCATAATTGGAACCAATTGCATAAGAAGCTAAATAGATAAATATAGATAATATTGTTTGTTTTCTTAAAATAATGATGTGTTGTCGGGTTAGAATTGTGAGATTTTAGAAAACCATTATCGGTCATTATACAATTCCCATGTCATTTCACGGTAATTTCTATAATGGGCACGTTTTTATCCTTATTCTCAGTACTGAATGTAAGAAAGGCAAAGTACCAGGCCAACTAAATTTTTGATTGAGTACAAGCGTAAAAGTTCCATTGGCTGACAGAGTAATTCTAATTAGATTTTTAAAACATGATGGTCATTCTCTGGGCTCTCATTCGGTTCACAATCGGGGCCCCATTTACACACTTAGCTGTTGTATTCGACAGTGCTCATTTTACACCAACAAGTACCGCGTGGATAATTTTGGTTTTGACATCTATATTTTTATAGTGCCGCCAAGAAGTGTGACATCATCCATACAAATAAACAAAGATGTAATCCTTAAATAAAATAGACATTTTAGTATTTCACCCATGAGAATGTCCCTTTAAGAAATCCTAAATTGTACATATGTTTTATACTTTATATTTGTGTTATTATTATGACTGCCAGTTGCAAATCTGTTAAAGATCCATTTTAGGGAAGCGATTTTATATAAGCTGATAAAGCTTGTTATCATATTCTGTATTTTTTATATAAATTTTGTAAATTTAAATGAATGAAATATTGTTTAAACAAATCATCTATACATTAGTGACTGTTTGTCTTTAAAAAGGACTGGCTGGGATTCGTGCTTTGATTGAAGTTAGAATCTTAAATCATCCATACATTAGTGACTGTTTGTCTTTAAAAAGGACTGGCTGGGATTCGTGCTTTGATTGAAGTTAGAATCTTAAAGGGACAATCCCGACAATTTTTGGGAGAATAAAACTGCTTAATTTTGTGTTAAAATCCTTAACCTAAGGGCCGAGGAACTAACTCAATTTTTGTGGTCCGTTTTCAAACAACTTAAACCCGTCAGTCTTCATCTGGAAATGGAGACCGGTGACCCAAGCTGTATAAGGCGGAGTCTGGAAAAAACCAGACTTTTATTTTATAAAAATAAAGTGTAGGTGAAATTTACCTTTCGTTATGAAGGAACGGGAATCGATTATCAGGTCACCCAACGAAAAATTTACCCGAAATCGTATAAGGGTTAGTGTCCCAATAGGCAGTTTTGACGTTCACGTCCAAACGATTAAATATTTTGAGCTGGAATTTTGAGACAAGGTAAATACACCATTCCTCTATATTTTGGAGCTTAAATTTTATACGTACTCCGACATGTATTTTTGAGACTCTGTTCAAATCGGGATAGTCCCTTTAAGTTCTAATACAAACCTCAGAATGCACCAAAATCGAATCTATAATTTTTCACAATTATCGGGAGACTTCACCCTGCACTTATCAATTCAGCCCCCATGCAATTCATTTGTTCTCTCCCACAAGGTTCAATTGGCTCTGCTCATTCTAAGAACTAAATCCTGTGTATTGTAGCTTTGTTTTTGTAAGGCTGCTGTTATCTGTTCAGAGTTGGCAAGGAACGGAAAATCTAGGGCGTTCGAGTTGGATGAAAAGCAGAAGCCAGACAGAAATGAGGCGGAAACGTCATTGTTTGGATACAATTACCTGTACAGAATATCTAACATAACCATAGAAAATAAAATATACCATAACACAGTCTTAAAATAACCGAAGTGTTGTGTTGATAAAATGTTAGCTTCATTTCATCCATTTTAATGCGTTTCATACCCGCCTGATGTGGTTATTCCGTCCTATACGTTTTTGGACAAGCAAGTTAACTTACATCTCTATATTCATACGAGATTTGCCATGTTAACGGACCATAAAGATAATGTGCAAGGGAAAAGTGCAAGGCAAACACAGATGAGCACAGCTACGTCGCCCTCGCAGTCCACAAAGGTCACGTATATCTGTGGCACTACGGGGTAGATACGATAACTTTTTCCAATGAACAATTAAGTCTGGAACACCGTGTATATTGTTACTAAGTTTATATAACAAATACAGCCAACTAAAAAGGTTAACTACAGGAAACTACTATATCTATGATAGTACTTTTCGAGTTATTAAAATATCCATGGTCAGAGTTTAAAATCCTTTCTAACTCAGACCTAACGGCTTAAACGTGGCAAGAGCCACATACTTCTAGATAGTTCTACATAAGGCTCGCGCTAGCATGATGTGTTCACCTTGGCCTCTAAGTCGAGGAGGCTATGGGTATGTTCCCCTGAGCTCTGAATGATGGTCTGAGGGTAAATCAAACCAGTTCTCTCATATACAGAAGTATAATGCGTCAGCTATTAGGACGGGACAATTACCATCTTTGGGTAAGTGTTTCGTATAGGCACCGTTTAACGTCAACACAATTCTAGTTAATTGTATTAATCCGTGCACGAGATGACTGGACTATAGTACCCTACTTCTAGCAATGGATACTGACATAACTGTCGGTGAGTTAGTCTAAGAAGTAGAATAATGCAAGCTACTTCTTTACTCTAGTTTTCGTCACACATCATGTAGGTAAAGAATTTCTATTTTAAACAGAACACCTTTCTTATAACTAAAATAAACCCTATAGTATTACATATCTTGTTATGGGTGGTTGTGTGCTGGGGGGGGGGGGGGGGGCTCAGTATCCTGGAGAACCCGTGTTCGATCCCGGTCCTGGTTTCCAGTCAAGGACACATACGATCACACGCGAGGAGTGCGGGGGCTCAGTGTGTGAGACGTTGGCTCGCCAACCTGTAGGGGGAGGGGGTGGTCCCCTGCACGAATTCTGTCAGCGTTTATCGAAATTTTCTGGCGTGGATTCTCCTTGTCAGTGGCACAGAACAGAGGGTCTGGCGATTGACAGCGAATGGTTGTTCGGGTGGAATTCGCTATTTATAAATATAGGGGAACAGGCATAACCTATATGGAGTCACGGCGTCTAATTGAGTAAGACGCTGGCTTGCCTAGATGTCGCGGTTTCGATCCCAGTTATGGCCGAGAATGTTCATCGGGATTTTCTGGCGTGGTTTCTCGTTGCTTGTCAATGTTGTAGGACGGTGGGCCTGACAAAGATAGCTGTCTAGTCGTTCGGATGGAGCAAAAACCGAGGTCCCGTTGACACATTAACGTGCACGTAAAAGATCCCTTGGCAGCTGTAATTCGATATAATTACCGGTCGGTGCAGAACAGTTGGACTTAAAACCCCATTCAATTTAATTTATTTTGTAGGTAATGGGGCCGTTTAAGATATCCATGAAGTAGTTATCAGAAAAGACAAAGGGAGATAACATAACTAAACAGGGGTAAGAGCTGATGACCAATTTTATAAAACGATCATCTCCAAGGCATTTCTATTGTATAATGATTTATTTACTTTTTCAAATATAAACCGACATTATCAAATTGATGTAAATGTTTTGTGTATAACAATAATAATCACAAGAACGCCGATGAAGTGATGACTGGTTTCACCGGCGCCACATTACCCTTGAACTTGTGTCACTTTCGGTCCCAGGTTACCCTTGAACTTAAGTCACTTCCTGTACCAATAAAACCGTTAAACAGATTTCCACATAAACACTGCACACATGTTATAAAATGGACATAGAAACAACGAAATCCAGCAATATCAACTCCATTTTTACATTTGTTACGATGTGTTAAATTGAAAAACGGGATCCTGACAAAATTTGTTTCTAACTTATCGCTAAGTAAGATGACTTTCTAATGGGAAATTAAAATGCGAAACAAATCTGAAAAAGTGATCCTGACAAAATTGGTTATTTCTCAACAAGGAATGATGCTAGAAACAATTTTTGGACATCTGTATGTTCGTATTGATCCAATCTATATGTCCATTGGAATCAAATATAATGTTAAACGAATGATAACTATAACTCACTTCGAAAAATATGTTTTGAAGGCTAAAAATACATTTTTGCCAAAATGACATTACTTCCGGTGATAATAAAAATGTTAAATTAGTTCTATGAAATCACAAAAGGCATAAGGCATCACACGGTGAAAATTTTATGAAAGTAATAATTGACACTTTAATAGACCAAAAACCTTACACGTTAGAAACAGTACACGTTAGAAACCATTTTGTTGATTTGAATCAAATATCATAATTTTAAAAACATTACAAATCAGAGTCATTTGAATAAAATACCTGTTTTGAAGGCTAAAAATACAGCTTTTGCCCGAAT